CTCTCTAACTTCTAAGTCTTTAATGCATGTCTTTATTCAAGATTTTTTAATTTGCCATTTTTTCCCTTTACTTGTACTGCACCCACCCAATATTATATGACTTAAATGCGTGGCAGCATGGTTGAGGCTGTTAATTACGTGTATGTACATGTAGCCAACAAAGATTGACAGTACATGGTTCACCATAATGTTTATAGTACATGTATGTTCATTAGTAGCTAGATCACTCCTTTTTGATCAAGAGGGAGGTGAGGGTGCATCTGGTTCCAGACTGAACTAATACGTACGGTTGGTAATATTTGAGGGTCCAATATTTCGCGTTTTCTCCAAAATTTCCTTAGAAGCTAATATTTGTGGGTGCAAATATTTGTGGCTGGCAGTTAGCAAACTTCTTTTCACTTGGATCTACTGGACTAGCTTCCAATACATGGCTTATAGTGGAATATGGAGTAATAGACAAAGACTTTGGCTCCTCCACTGGCTTGGAAATATTAGTTAGAGCTCTGCATGGCCCGTTAATTAGTTTTTATGTGTTGGTGGTAGGGGGTTAAAATTTTGTGGATAAAAATGAACCACGAAATTAACAAAAATTAATGCCCCACGAAATTTACCAACCGTACGGTACGTCTCCTGAACAATCAAAGTTGGTCACTATAAAAGGAGGCATAACATTACATGTACATGTATATTGCTCTTGTTATGTATAGGTCCATGCTGTAATAATTAGCACTCTGACACGATAGTACCATTCTTTACAATATTGCAAACTAGTCCATTATTACGTCACCTCATTAATTTATGCATTATAAATTACTTATGCCCACTTACTGTATACTTAGTCTTGTGCGGCCGGACTCTCCACCCCTTTTTGACTTTTGACCAAAAGTCAAAAAGGGGTGGAGAGTCCGGCCGCGTGAAACTACTGTATACTGGAGTAGTACCAGGCCTTTGGTTCCCCTAATTAATGCCTATGACTTTGTATAGCAGATGATGTGTAGTTTGTTGCCTTTAAAAATGGAGCAAATTATTTTTTTAGTTAGAGGATCAAACTAGCCTGAGTAGTTAAGCCGTACCAAAGAACAATCTTCATTGGATACTCTTCATCAATATCTGTATGTCTCCATACTTGCTTTTAATAATCGAGAGTCATTTTTATTCTATTTTTTAGAATACTCATTCTTACTTCATGGATCAAGAAATATCAGAATTTATGAACAATAATGACTTCTTCATTTTAAGTTCAGGTAGGTCATATTGTATTGACCATGTACATGTACAATGTAGTACAGTAGTTGTGGTAGTATAGCACAGTAAAGAGTGCCATATAACATTGCAAGTTAATTATGTGTATGCACAAGTAGAGAAGATACTGCTGCTTATTCAGGAGAATTAAGGTGATGAAAAGAAGGATACCCTTGTTCTATGAACCTTTTGCTATTGATAGAAATTTTTTATATGGCATGGTAGAGCCCTGTTACATGTATCGTACATCTTATATGTGTGTGTGGGAAAATATTTAGTGTGACTTCTATTTGTGAGATGAGGAATTCGCAAAAATTAGATCATGCATAAAATTACATGCCGCATTCAATAGCACATGACACATTTTTATTACACAAAAGTTAAGTCACACAAGCTTTTCAGATGTAAAAAAATTCTAATGAATAGGCAAAGGCCTGCACTTAAGTGTTCTTGTATGATATGCATGTACCGTACAAGATGATTTATTGGCAAAAGTAATATTTGGCGAATTTGCCTCTAGAATGTTAATTGGTGAATTTATATTGACGATTTTGTGCCATGTACCATTGAACATGCTCAGATTGAAACAAAATGGTGGATTTTATATTGACAATTTCTTCATAGAACCGCCAATTGCCATTAGTAATTTCTCGCCAATAAATCATCTTGTACGGTATCTGTTGTTTGTAAATTGCAATTTACCACAAAATATTTGTAGCCAATGTTTCCAGCTATGTGTGGTAAATATTATAATTATGTGGTGATGTAGATACATTACCAGTACACTGGAGTGTGGTATTGTTGCTGACTGTCGTAAGAATGTTGGTGCTCATGCAGAGATAGAGACATGTTTTTGAATACACACCAGGTGCTCTCAAAATATGGGGAAACCTTATCCTTATGGTCATCATTGTGTATTTATGGACTGGACTAAAATTTGATTTTTACAAGAGTCACTTTATGTAGTTACCATAGCTGATTAAAAGCTGAAGCTATTGTTTGTGCCTTTTTTGTTAATAAGTTCAGCTCAAACTTGTACATACATGTATAACATTCTATCATATTGTGTTTAAAATTTGAGTTAGGCCACTCCAACTAAATTTGTAGTTTCTCCTTGCTGGCTGCTCGCCCGCGCCGATATTTTAATTATTCGATTAAAATATTAAAAATAATAATAACGTAAACATATGAGTCTTTCGAGGTTCTTTTCACTCTTTTTGAAGAATAACTGGGCTCTTCACCACTCTCTAGTTCATTGATGAAGAAGGAATCGGGTATATTTGCTACTTTGTCGAAACTTTATTATTATTTTAATCAAAATTTATAATCAAAATTAACTTACCGCCCGCCCACATCAGTCCCGCACGTGTAAGGAGAAACTATGAATTTAATTGGAGTGGCCTTAACTATAATCAGATTGCAAAATAGTGTTACTTGATTGTTAAAATGATGTAATAGTCGTTATTAATCTCCTGGTATCTTCAAGTGTCTCTTCTAAATACATGTACATGTAAGTACTAATATGAAAATTAGTGTGTTTTATTTTTAGCATGTGTGAGTTCCATTTTTCTTAAATTGTTTTTTATTACTGTAGGGTGCCTTTTTTAGGGCTATATATTTCATAGATTTTGTTGCTATTTGCAAAAATAAATTCCTCAATTTAATTGTTTATGGTTGGGGAAAATTTGAATTTGGGATAAAATCGTGAAATTTAATACAGTGAATTATACATGTATATCCGCTTAATCTATAGCCCTCGAAAAAGGCACCCTATGGTATACTGTAATGAATAGAGGCAGGCAACACATTGACCTTGTGGCTTATCTCAGCTATCAAGAAGTATTCATGCAATATGTTGCCTAGCAGATGTTTGCTAGTGGTTTGAGGACTAGTTGGCCATGCATCCTTACTACTGTAGGTTGTGGATTAGACTGCAGTGTGTATAGTCATAGCTTTTTAAAAAATAATGATAGTCAAAACATTCTTGTCTAGAATGTACATGTACATTAGTAGTGGTTTGTTTAGGCTTAATTCAATTATTTATTAATCTGAACTTTGCTTCTCTACCCACTTGAATGTATGTATTGCAGTATTATCACTGTGTACAGTTTCTACAAAATTACTTGATTTATGGTTGCTGACTTTACTTACACTGAGCACTTAAGAAAAACCATTCATCTCTGTAAAAAAAGATACACATCACTAGTATGCAATGTTATCATTATTTTCTGTTCTAAAATTCAATTGTGTTCTCCATACAGCGGAAAATTTTTGTGGCCCAAGATTTTGTGGACTTTGCATTTTTTTCAAAAATTTCCAAAAAATAAAATTTATAAAAATTGATTAATTATGGCTCAACGTGACGGATGATAAAATTGTAAAAGTTAAAGCTACAAAATAGATTTTGGATGGATTCATAAAATTTTGGGACCATGACAATATTCCGCTATATGATATCTTTATATTGGATGGCAAGTTTACTGAGAGTCCAATGATATTTTGACCCTGATGCGTGTGTACTGACTCCAACATTATTGGCTGCGATTATCATCTGCATGCTACAACTCAGCTATCTATGGTCTGTGTTAATATTTAATATTTGTGAGTGTTTTTTCTGTACTTCACTGTTGACTATCAAAACATGTGTAAAACCTGCCAAAGTTTTAATTTGTATGGTATTAGAGGATCAGCTGTGATTTGACCTGTTTACAGCATATCATGAAATTCCACAAATGTCCTTGGTTAAAAACCTCATGTTTGATACTACTACACGTCGTGTTAAGCTACATTTGGTCAGGTATTTCAATTAGTATTTAAAGCCGCTGTTCAGAGCCCTAACTTCAGAATAGTTATTATCAGTAGTGATAGATTCGGATAGATTGCACTTGGCACACAAACCAAAACATGTCTTTGATAACATTTTGCGTTATGTTACTGTCTGCTATTGTAGTTTTTTCTATTGCAGCACCAGTGAACGAGCCTGAGGAGGTGATTTCAATTGAATATAACGATACTAAAAATGAGGTACTGAAATAACAACTATCTTTAAATGTCATTATTATCATTATTAGTCAAATATCTCGAAGCAGGAGCCATCACTTCTGAATTACATTAGGAATCTGGAAAAGAGGATATATGAAACTGAAAAAGAGGTTACTAAATTTAGTCATTTCACATAGTTGTTACAATAAATTATTTTACCATATAGGTTATCAGACTAAATGAATTAATAACACAACATCATGACGAAACAACAAAGAATGGTATGTATAAACTTAATCTCTCACACAGTCTCACCTCTTTGTCTCTCTTGTTACTTAATAGTATATCGAATCACAGTGAACCCGAGGCCTTTTACAGAATGGGTGTCCCTCCCATTACAACACACATCAAGTATTGACACTTTTGATGTAAATGAGACACGGTACATGATAATAACTAGCGACTTCAGTGAGATGGACACTAAGATTGTTTCGGTGTACAAGATAACAAGAGAGGGACCAACACATGTACATAATATAACACTTCCTGGAGCAAGAACAACAAAAAGCTTAAACATAAACAACAAAGTTTATACTGCTATAGCCTGTGAAAATCCCCACAATGACAAAAATGACGTGCACATCTACACTTGGACGGATGACGAGACTTTGAAACTTTTACAGACTTTTGATGGAGCTCGTGACCCTACATTTGGAAGGACAACAAGTCATAGCATATATCTTGCCCTTACGAAGAACGATGGAGAATGGTCTACTAAAGTATATAAATGGGACCATAAAGATAATCGATTCCATTCCATTCAATTTCAGGAGGCCATACGTGGAGCTAAACCAAATTTCTTTTTGTTAAAAAATCATCTATGGCTAAGCACTTCAAACAAGTTCAGTTCAATCATTTATAGGTGGAACGAGCTTCGCTCCAGGTTTCAGGTTTATCAGAGAATACCATTACCCTCACTGGAAGCAATGGATCTCCAACCTATGCCTATTGAAAGCCATTACTTCTTAGTAGCCACCAGTTTGGAAGGACCCTCATTATTGCTTTATAAATGGAGTAGCTTCAGGGAGCGGTTTGAAATATTTCAAAACATCCCAGCATTCAAAATCAAAGCACTTGACAGTTTTAATATCAACAACTACGGACACTTTATCGCTATGGTTAAAGCATCGGACACATCAGCAGGTACAAAAGAGCTAGTTTTTTATAAATTCAGTGGAGCAGCCACAAACGACTTATTTCAAAGTATCACAGCAGATGATCCATCTTCTGTTAAAGTGTTTCATCATCACCATCGGTCCATATTGGCAATAGGAAATGCGTTATCTCTTGATCTGTTCAAGTTGAACGATGCCTAGCTCATGGATACTGAACTTTGATTATTGTTACATTTCTTTTAGTTTGTTATTTTGCTCCCATGTCAATTGTTTAGTTATGTATAGATCTGTTGTCCTTTCTTTTTTTTCTATGTTTTTTGATTTAATACTTATTTTTAAAAAAAAATTTTAATTTAAAGTTTGTCCATAGTGAGCACTTGAGTGGGTGTAGATCTACTAATATACGTGTACCCGTATATCAACCATACACTCTTTTATCATTGAGCTTTTAATTAGCTAGTCCATAGTTAGGTGTAATCATGTAGAGTCTAGTAGATCTACGTTTGTTGTACTTCTCTAATAATCTGATATCCTTTAATCACTGATGACGTCAGGCAACCTCCTGCACTGCACTGCACTGGACACTGAATAGACACTGAAAGTTCTCATGAGTAGTCCAAGCATGCAGCTCAGTTATTAAGCAGTTGGTTTAAGTCTAATCCAAGAAGGTGACAGTCCACTCCCCAGCAATTCTATTTTTTATAGAGGAGCACAGGCTGACTTGGAGAGATTATAATTAAACCTGGAGACTCAAGATACATGTACTGCCCTGGAGGACACAGGGCCACGGTAGCACTGGCAAATGACTACGAAGTACGAACATTAAGACACTGAAACCAACCAAGCAGGTGCATGTCACACTTCCAGTCTTCGAATCCACACCAGGAGTCAGGTGACAGACACTGACAGCTAGGAGATGAAAGAAATTAAAATTAAACCCACAAAATTACATAAACACACGTAATAACGTAGATCTATGCATGCAGAGTGCGTGGGCGTTCGCCTTGGTGCAGCAGTCTCGAGTGCAGTGCAGTGGTGGTCAAATAGTCATGGGACAAAGAACCAGTATTTTAGGTATGTATTCTAGTCTACATACACTAGGTAGCTATAAATACTACTGGAATAATAGCATGTATGTAGCTCCATCATGCAATAATGCCGGCTATTCACTTAAAAACATGCATGCCACTACCTGTTGCATGCTGCTCAAAAGCAGAACAATAACCCGTCTTTTTAAATCCCACATAATGAGAAAGCATGGCCACAAATGCATGGAGGACAATGATGGGCATGGACCCAGAACTGGAAGTGGGTGTAGTGGGCATGTCCTTAATAATCGAACATATTTTTTTGGTTACGATACGTGTGCAAGTTCCGGGCTTTTAAGCTTAACTATGGGCTAATCAAGCAAAGCATACTTTGAAGCTTTGCCTATAAAACAAACATCTCATTGAGACTTTTAGAGGCTCTCTCACAGTCTCACTTAAGTCTTTAGACTTGGAAATTTGCAATTTTAGATCAAGAGGAGCATCAATCTGGTTTCACACTGATTTAATACGTCTCAAAGTTGGTCACTATATTAAAAGGAGGCACGAAATTATATTGCTCTTGTTATAGTATAGGCCACACTTTAACAATTAGCACTCTGACATGATAGTACCATTCTTTATGATATTACAAGCTAGGCCATTATTACACCACCTCATTGCATAATAAATTACCTATGCCCACCCACCAACCATAGTTTATTCTGGAATAGCAACCGAGCCTTTGGTTCTCCTAATTAATGCCTATGACTTAATATAGCAGATTAAGTGCGGTTTTTTGACTATTGAAATGGAGTAAATTTTATTTTTTTAAGTTAGAGGATCGAACTATAGTTTGAGTAGTTAAGCCGTACCAAAGAACAATCTTCATTCGATACTTTTCATCAATATCTGTTACTGTATGTCTCCATCCTTGCTTTTAATAATTAAGAGTCATTTTTATTCTAATATTTAGGATAGTCATTCTTGTGCTTCATGGATCAAGAAATATCAGAATTTATGAACAATAATGACTTCTTCATTTTAAGTTCAGGTAGGTCATATTGTATTGACCATGTACATGTACAATGTAGTACAGTAGTTGTGGTAGTATAGCACAGTAAAGAGTGCCATATACCGTATAGCAGGAAATTTTGGAGGGAATTAAATGTGGCAAATTTGGCGTTTTGATAGCCATTTGCCAAAATAAAATCTGCCATTTTGAGCCATTATATGGATGCTCAATGGCACATGGCCACAAATTTGCAAAATTAAATTCTGCCAATTGCCAAAATTTAGCAATTCGCCAAATTTTAGTCCCTCTAAAATTTCCCACTGTATGGTAACATATGCAATTTGATTACGGGCATAAGTGGAGAAGATACTGCTGCTTATTCAGAAGATGGGAATGAAAAGAAGGATACCCTTGATTTTATGATTACATAACCTTTGCTATTGATGAAAAGCTTTTATATGGCATGGTAGAGCCCTGTTATACATTATATACATGTATATGGGGAAATATGTGATATGACTTTTATTCCATGAGATCAGGAATTTGCAAAAAATTAGATCATGTATAAAATTACATGCCACATTCAATAGCACATGACACATTTTATTACACAAAAATTAAATCACGCAAGCTTTTCAGATGTAAGAATTTTCTAACCAGGTATATGGTATTTATGCTGTTAATTGAGCAAATTGGTGGATTTTATATTGGCGATTTCTTCATAAAATCGCCAATTGCCAAAAGTAATTCCTTGCCAATAAATCATCTTGTACAGTATCTGTTGTTTTTAAATTGCGATTTACCACAAAATATTTGTAGCCAATGTTTCCAGCTATGTGTGGTAAATATTATAATTAAGTGGTGACAGGAGCCCGATGTAGATACATTACCAGTACACCGGAGTGTGGTATTGTTGCTAACTGTCGTAAGAATGTTGGTGCTCATGCAGAGATAGAGACATGTTTATGAATACACACCAGGTGCTCTCAAAATCTGGGGAAGCCTTATCCTTATGGTCATCATTGTTTATTTACGGGCTGGACTAAAATTTGATTTTTAAAAGAGTCACTTTATATAGTTACCATAGCTGATTCAAAGCTGAAGCTATTGTTTGTGCCTTTTTTGTTAATAAGTTCAGCTCAAACTTGTACATACATGTATAACATTCTATCATATTGTGTTTGAAAATTAAGTTGACTATATCCAGATTGCAAAATAGTGTTACTTGATTGTTATAATGTTGTAATAGTTGTTATTAATCTCCCAGTATCTGGAAGCGTCTCTTCTAAATAAGTAACAACCCTGACTGCTTGACAATATGAAAACTAAAGAGTGTTTTATTTTAGCATGTGTGAGTTCCATTTTTCTTGAAGTTGTTTTTTATTACTGATTTACTGTAGGGTGCCTTTTTTGAGGGCTATATATTTTGTGGATTTCACAGATTTTGTTGCTATTTGCAAAAATAAATCCCTCGATTTAATTATTTATGGGTGTAAAAAATTGAATTTTGAATAAAATCGTGAAATTTAATACAGCAAATTATATATCCGCTAAATCTATAGCCCTTGAAAAGAAAGTGCCCTACGGTTTATTGTAATAAATAGAGGCAGGCAACATATTGGCATTGTGGCCTATCTCAGCTATGAAGAAGTATTCATGAATATGTTGCCTGGCAGATGTTTGCTAGTGGTTTGTGGCCATGCATCCCTACTAGGTTGTGGAGTAGACTACAGTGCACAGTCATAGTGTTCTAAAAAATTTATGATAGTCAAAGCATTCCTGTTCTATACATTGTACATTAGTAGTGGTTTGTTCGTGCTTAATTCAATAAATGAAAGAATTTATTAATCTGCACTTAGCATCTCTACCCACTTGTGCAGCTGTTGAATGTTACTATCGCAGTATTATCACTGTGTACGGTTTCTAAAAAAATACTTGATTTATGGTTACTGCTTTCCTATTGCTGAGCACTTAAGAAAAACCCTTTGTCTCTGTAAAGAAAGATACACATCATTAGTATGCAATGTTATCATTATCTTCTGCTCTAAAATCCAATTGTGTTCTCCATACAGGGGAAATTTTTGTGGATTTTGCATTTTTTTTTCAAAAATTTGCAAAAATAAAATTTATAAAAACTGATAAATGCGGCTCAATTGACCGAAGATTAAATCGTAAAAGTTAAGGCTATAAAATAGATTCATAAAATTTTGGGGCCACGACAATTTCCGCTATAATGATATCTTCGTATTGGACAGCAAGTTTACTGAGAATGCAATATTTTGACCCTGATGCATATGTACTGACTCCAACATTATTGGCTATCTATGGTCCGTGTTAATAATCAATATTTGTGAGTGTTTTCTTTGTACTTCACTTTTGACTATCATAAACATGTGTAAAACCTGCCAAAGTTTTAATTTGTATGGTATTAGAGGATCAGCTGTGATTTGACCTGTTTACAGCATATCATGAAATCCCACACATGTACTTGGTTAAAAACATCATGTTGTTGTGTTGAGCTACATTTGGTCAGGTATTTCAATTAGTATTTAAAGCCGCTGTTCAGAGCTCTAACTTTAGAATTATTATTGGTAGTGATAGATTTGGATAGATTGCACTTGGCACACAAACCAAAACATGTCTTTGATAACATTTTGCATTATGTTACTGTCTGCTATTGTATTTTTTTTTTATTGCAGCACCAGTCAATGAGGAGGCAATTTCAAATGAATATAACAGTTCTAAAAATGAGGTACTGAAATAACAACTATCATTGAATGTTATTATTATCATTATTAGTCAAATATCTTGAAGCAGGAGCCATCACCTCTGAATTACGTGAAGAATCTGAAAAAGAGGATAAATGACACTGAAAATGAGGTTACTAAATTTAGTCATTTCACATAATTGTTACAATAAATTATTTTACCATAATTATAGGTTAGCAGACTAAATGAATTAATAATGCAACATTGTGATGAAATAACGAAGAATGGTATGTATGAACTTAATCTCACACAGTGTCATCTCTTTGTCCCTCTTGTTATTTAATAGTATATCGAATCACAGTGAACTCGTGGAGGTCGTTTACAAAATGGGTGTCCCTCTCAATACAAGATGCATTAAGTATTGACACTTTTGATGTAAATGAGACACAGTACATGATAATAACTAGTGACTCCAGTGAGATTGATACTAAGATTGTTTCAGTGTACAAGATAATAAGAGAGAAACCAATACATTTACAAAGAATACCACTTCCTGGAGCAAGAATGACAAAAAACTTTAACATAAACAGCAAAGTTTATATTGCTGTAGCCCATTACAATTCCGTCAATGAAAAAGAAGACGTGCACATTTACACTTTGACAGATGATGAGACTCTAAAACTTTTACAGACTTTTAACGAAGTTCACAACCCTATGTTTGGAAAAACAAGTCATGAAATATATCTTGTCCTTATGAAGACTGATGGAGAATGGTCTATAAATGGGACCATAAAGATAATCGATTCCATTCCATTCAATTTCAGGAGACCATATGTGGAACTAAACTAAGTTTCTTTTATATCAAAAATCATCTGTGGCTAAGCATTTCAAGCAAGTTAAACTCAACCATGTATAGGTGGAATGAGCTTTGCTCCGAGTTTGAGGTTTTTCAGACAATACCATTATCCTCACCGGAAGCAATGGATATCCAACCTATGCATGCATATTGAAAGCCATTACTTTTTAGTAGCCACCAGTTTGGAAGACAGCTTTTATATCAACAACCATGGACACTACATCGCTGTGGTTAAGGTGCCTGACACATCATGCAGCAGGTACAAAAGAACTAGTTTTTTATAAATTCAGTGGAGCCATGAATAACTTCTTTCAAAGTATCACAGCAGATGATCCATCTTTTGTTAAAGTGTTTCATCGTCACCATGGGTCTGTGATGGCAATAGGAAATGCATTATCTCTTGATCTGTTCAAATGGAACGACGCCTAGCTCATGGATACTAAAATACTGAACTTTGATTATTGTTGCCATTTCTTGTTTGTTATTTTGCTGTTGAAATTGGTTATTGATTATAGTTATGTATATAGATCTATTGTCCTTTCTTTTCTGCTATGTTGTTTCTTTATTTAATACTTATTTTTAAAATCTAAACAAAGTTTAAAGTTTGTCCATAGGTGAGCACTTCAGTGGCTGTAGATTTAGTAATAGACCTTTTAACTGGTACATCAACCATGCCGACACTCCTTTAAACACGTTAAAAAGAAGAATAGACCATTGAACTTAAGTAGTCTAGTTAAGCGTAATCATGTAGAGTCTAGTATGTATTTTGTACCTCTCTAATAATCTGATATCCTTTATGAGATGGTCTCCTAATTAGAAAACAATAGAACTCAGTGCAGTAGGATTACTGATGACGTCAGGCAATCTCCTCACTGGACACTGTAGTGTAGGCTGAAAGTTCTCATGAGTAGTCCAAGCAGCTTATCAATCAGAACACAATAGTGGTTAAAGTCTAATCCAAGAAGGTGACAGTCCCAGCAACTTGATTCTAGAGGAGCACAGGCTGAGTTGGTGCATGTGACTGATGTCATCAGCGAAAGTGAACTCAAGCCTGGAGATCATTCGTGCATTATAGGGCCCAACTGGCAAATGACTACGAACATTAAGGCACTAAAACCAACCAGACTAGACAAACAGCCTGGTGGTGGTAGTCTGACTATGGTGGTGGCAGGTGCAATTCACAGTTCCACACCAGGTGTCAGGTGACAGCTGTCAGCCGGCCTGAGCTGTCAGCCGGCCTGAGCTGTCAGCTGAGGCTAGGCAGGCTTGTATAGCTGATGAGTTGACACGAGATGAGTTATAACTAGCCTATAATAAATTTTATCTAGTCTAAGCCACGCCCGTAACAATATGGCGGTCGAGATGAAGTCAGTTTTGTTGATGCCAAAAGGACCTCTCTCTTCGATTTTATTAGATGAAGACTCCGAGGTATGTTCATGAACTCTATTATTTACATTTCTTTTATTAATAGCATGATATTATGCATTCTTTTTGTCCTACTGGCCGTCTATTTGCTTTTCTCACACAAGCTCAGGCACAGTTCATTGCTACTGAAGGTATTGATCCTTTCCTAGCCTTTAATTACTCTCCATTAGGTCATCCTAATATGTCCACTGTCTCTAGTACATTATATGCTAATAGTTTCATTGGGAAATTGGATGTAATTACTGACCCCATACTACCAGCGTATGGAATTATTATTATCATTGTTGTTGTTTTTATTATTGTTAATTAGGCCGTTAGCTACAGCTGTGTGTGTGTTACCTATAGCGCTGATAAAAGGTGGAGTCCCTCAGTTATCAAGTATTGTGATGATTGGATTCGATGATGGATCTATTGCTGCTTATTCAAAAGTAATCTCCAGTTTTTAAAATTTAAACTTCATTAATTTTCTCTTTTCCCTTCCCTCTCACTCTTTCTCTTTTCCTTCCTCCTCTTAGTCTGGTAGGATGATATTCATGCAACAGTTATCACCTGATAACTCTGTCATTAAAATTAGAACAATGTCTACCGCTCAGAAACAAAGCACAGTATGAGCAATTATTATTATTATTGTTATTAATATTGTTATTATTATTATTATTATTATTATTATTATTATTATTATTATTATTACAGAGCAGTATCATAGTCTTGTTTAATGGTGGCATAGTGTGCATCATTGATGGTATTAGTCTCTCTGAACTTATCGAAGAGAAAGTATCAGATAAAAGTAATGCAATGTACTCAGTATTATTCATTTATTATTATTATTATTGTAATGTGCATTTGTATTGTAGGTGATGCTGCTGGTGCTCAAACTCATTTAATTTATAAGAAATATAGTTTGGAGCAGCAGACAGGAAGATTAGATGCTGCATTGATAGGTATCGAGTTGAACTGAAATGGTCTAATGTCAATCTCTTTCTCTCTCTCTCTCTCTCTCCCTCCCTCTCTCTCTCCAGGTCATTCTTTACCATCTTATTTCGATCATTTAAGAGAGGCTAGTGTAGTAGACGGCTATGAAAGTATTATCAAGCAAGGGCCACTTAATGAAGCTAAACTAATAGTAGTGGGAGAACAGCCCATGATATCATTATACAGACTGAATAAAGTAATGTCTTAAAATATAGTAATTAGATGTACATCTAGATGAAACAAACTATTATTTACTTATTTATTTATTATTGTATAGCACTTTATTTTTGTGGCACTTTCTTTTGGAGATTTTGCTTGATAGTATTTAATTTGGCAATTTTTGTGTACACGTGCATTACTGATAATGATTGACGGTTTTAATATTGGTGATTTTGCTTGCAAACCGCCAATAGCTGAAATTTAAAAAACCCACCAAATTAAAGTGCTATACGGTATTGTTATAGGATGCTGGTAGTATCAATGTCAGTGAGGTGGTCCATGAGGTTGCTTCAAGGATGACTAATGCTGTTTTAGATAAATTATCATTCGCCTCCGGTTGGCTGGGATGGGGAGGAGCCAATCGTAAGACCACACCCACTTCGCCCCCTCAACAGCAAGAAGAGAAGCAGCAGAGATCACTGAACATACGAATGAGGTACTAGTTAATTACTAAATTGTTAATTATCTATTATTTAATAACTAGTACTAATATACCGGATTTGAGGAGAGTTGTGTGTTCCATCTCTGTCTCTCCGTTAGCTGATCTTGCTGCTTTAGTTGACGAGTTTGGGAGGATCTTATTGTTAGATATTAATAATCTGATAATCAGGAGGATGTGGAAAGGTACATTTTGTATTTAATTTAGCAAATTTTAGCGATTTTAAAAGAAATTACGAACTTAAGTCTGTGCTAACTTTAATTCTTGATTAGAATAATTATTAATAGTTATTAGTATTAAATGATCAAAAACGCTAAATTTAATACCAGCCAAATGTCAGTTTCATGAAAATCGCTAAAATAAGTACACACAATAATTGTTTCCTTAAGGTATATACATGTACATGTACATGTACTATTGTTATTATTATTATTATTGTCATCATCATCATTTTAAACACATTATTACTGTATAGTGGGAAATTTTGGAGAGGATTAAAATTTTGCAGATTTGGCTTTTTGATAGCCATTTGCCAAAATTAAAATCCGCCATTTTGAGCCATTATACGCATGCTCAATGACACTTGACCACAAATTTGCCAAATTAGAATTTGCCAATCACCAAAATTTAGCAATTCGCCAAATTTTAGCCCCTCCGAAATTTCCTGCTATACAGTATCACTATAATGACAAAATTGTTGTTGTTGTTGTTGTTGTTGTTATTGTTGTTCTTAGTATTACTTCATTTGTGTGTGTTGTTAGGTTATCGTGGTGCCCAGTGTGGTTGGTTGTTGGTGTCTGATCCAGTCAATACTGAGAGGCAGACCCAGTGCTTGTGTGTTTATCTACCAAGAAGAGGAATAATAGAAGTAAGTCTAATCAGCTCAAACCTTATATATGATTTATATAATGGTATTAAAAGTCTTATAAAAATCAGAGTTTTGGGTTTCCCACAAAGCATGCTGCATAGTTCATGAGCTGAAAAGCACTGCAATAGTGAATACAATACATTTTGAGTAACTAATTTAATTTGAATCAGCTCAGAATTGACGAATAGCATAAGATAGTGTGTATGTATCAGAAAAATTATAAAAGTGGAGAATTCGCTACTTTTTATTTTTGACAAAATACCCTGTACTATAATAGTTCAGGGTGTTTGGCTCAATTTATGAGCAACTTGACAATCCACTGACAAGAAGCTGCATCCATGAGCACTATACCAAAATCCTATAAGAAACCCTGTCCGACTGTTACATAAAAATGGTAGATCAAATTAAGACGCAATGCCTTGTGTAAGTATATTGTTTGTATGCTTTGGGAAAACCTGATTAAAATTAATTAGAGCCATTTGTAGAAAGACCATTTGAGCATTGAAAATGAAAATGTAAAAGTAAGACATCGTTAGATGAGCCATTTTTGTTGATTTTAAAGCATTTATAAATCAATAACAGAAGTGATTGAAATCAGTAATAGTGATAATAATGTGAGCATGATATATGGCCCTCTCTCTCTCTCTCATTCTCTATACACTTGCATTCATTTAGTTCTGGCCAGTACAGTGTGGGCTAAGAGCTGGTGTTTGTTCTATAGGCAGAAACTGCACCATCTTCTATACCAACCGAGCTATCTTTGGTAGAGGAGACGTCATCAAAGGATTGAATATACCATCACCATCTTTTGGGGATATGCTAATGGCACTAACCCCTGAAGGGCACCTGGTCACTTTTACTGTGCCCTTCTCCTCTCTTGTGAAGTGAGATTTGTTATTAATAGTTATCGATAGTTATTAATGGTTATTAATAGTTACTAATAGTTATTAATAAATATTAGTGGTTATAAATAGTTATTATAGGAGGAATAATCCACTATCTCATGATTTTCACATTTTGCAGAATCTTCAAAAGAATCTCATTAAAGGTACTATTAATTCATTTATTTATTTTTATTTACTGATTGATAGGGGAGGAATTGGCTGGTGGGTCATTTGAAAATGTTTGTACAGGCGTGAAATCATCGCAATCATTATTAGAAGTAACAAAAATAAAGAAATAATAATAATAATTATTATTATTGTTGTTGTTTAGGTTATACAGATACTGATTAAGAATTATTCTAAAGGGAACAGATCTTCATTTACTGCAACTCTTGATATTGCCATCAACAGATGCACCTCTAATAAAAACTGTGAGATAATGAACTTCTTTTATTTTATTTATTTATTTTTTTAATTCTAAATTTAATCAAAAATTGTCTCATTTGCAGGTAGTGTCCCGGTTGAATTATTAAATCATTTCAAAATCATTAAAAGTTTGTCTGTGATGTATTTTGAAATTGAAGACAACATTAATATAATTAGCAGTAAGGATGTCCCTGTGATTAGCTCATTATACGAGGTAGACAAAATTAATTATTATTATTGACTCTTAATTTTTTGGCTTGATCTTTAAATTTTTTTAGTGTCTCGATAATTTTGTCGGAATGAAATCTAAAATTGAAATAATTTCTCAGCTAATAACGTTATATTATGGGCTGTATCAGTCGTCAATGAATGTCACACCCACTTTTTCACTGGCTGATTTTCTGTTTTGTTTTGAAGTCGGTGTCTGTGAAGTGAGTTGCTTGTTGCCAGAATCAACCAATCAGATTGCAGCCGGAACTGCTATCGATCACTTCTCATTAGACGTTGAGATTAAATCAGATTTGTCTCAGTCAATGTTAATGAGCTTAGCATCTTTTATATATCAGGTTAGCCCATTCTTTTTTCTCTCTCTTTTATCTTCCTTTTATTTTCACGCAACTTTTTTTTCCCTCCCTCTCTCCCTCCCCTCTCTCTCCCTCCCTCTCTCCCTCCCTCCCTCTCTCCCTCTCTCTCTCTCTCTCTCTCTCTCTCTCTCTCTCTCTCTCTCTCTCTCTCTCTCTCTCTCTCTCTCTCTCTCTCTCTCTCTCTCTCTCTCTCTCTCTCTCTCTCTCTCTCTCCTGTATCTATCCTCTTTTCTCCCCTCTCTGCCCTAGGTCCCTTTGTTAAGGTGTAATTGTACTGGTTTAAATCAAATCCTTGTTAATTGTCCTGTCTCATGTTATTCATTAACTGTAAGTTATTGTTGTGTTGTTGCTATTATTATTATTATTATTATTATTATTATTATTATTATTATTATTGATATTGTTGTTATTTCCAACAGGTTTTATTAATCAAATATTTTGCTAGTGATTTTATACCAGAGGCTGAGGCTTCGTTAATTTTATCATCTTTATATTCAATACTCTCCACATTAATAAAGAAAATACATGAAAGTAATAGAATAGATACTAATAATAGAATACGTTACTAATAATAGAATATGTTACTAATAATAGAATATGTTACTAATAATAGAATGTTATTAATAATAGAATATGTTGCTAATAATAGAATATGTTGCTAATAATAGATTACATGTATGTTACTAATAATAGACATGAGACTAATAATAGAATACGGTACTATTTTTCTAGAGGACAAGCTGCACAGTGAGGTGTTAGATGTATTATCGTGTACATCATTTGTTGGTCAGGCTCTCTTGGTTGCTCTGTTGTGTCAAAAACTAATGCTTAATCTGGTAAGAATTAAATAAATGATGATAATAATAATAATAATAATAATTTTTTAAATATTAATTGAGAACAGTAGAAAATAACAATAGCAATCTCCTGCCGTATAGCTGGTAATTGTTGGGGTCATATTGCGAATTTTAATTTCACGAATTCTACCATGTGTGCCATGCAAGTACTGTGTTACTGTAAGTTGATTTTGTGGATTTCATTTTCACGAATAAGGAAAGGATCCGCAAAATTTGCAACCCTCAAAAAGAGCTATTATGCTGTATAACAACAATAATAACAAGCAATAATAATTTCTCCTCCAGTGGATGGTGTAGTGTAATTAGTTTCTGTTTTCGTACTATTAACTTTAATGATAATAATAATAATAACAATAATTCTTGTTATTAAGGACGGTGGGAGGAGGAGCAAGGAGGAGAAAGAGGAGGAGGAGGAATGGGAGACTGTTAGGGTTGAAGAGGAGGTGTGGTCAATACTAATTGATCAATTAATGATATTAACGAGATTAACATTGATAACTGGCTCAATGACACAACCACTCCCACCAATAATGTACGTCAGCGATGAATTTGAGGGAGACATTGGACAAATGGAATTAAATCCTTTATTTAAAGGTTTGATTATTATTCATTTATTATTCCTTTTTATTTATTATTTTTTAATTTATTATTTCTATTATTCCCTTTTAACGAAGCTAATATCATTAATGTGTACCGTATAGCGGAAAATTTTGGAGGGAGTTAAATTTGGTGGATTGCTAAATTTTGGTGATTAGCAGATTTCAATTTGGCAAATTTGGGGTCATGTGCCATTGAGCATCTGCATAATGGCTCAAAATGGCAGGTTTTAATTTTTGCGAATGGCTATCAAAATGCCAAATTTGGCAAATTTAATTCCCTCCAAAATTTCCTGCTATACGTTATATTTTTATCAAATTTTGATTGTTGTTGTTTTTTTGTTGTTTATGCAGGCAATCAAGTTGTATCTGTGAATACACTGGAGAGGTGTGGCCCAGTTTTATTGACTAACTGTATAGCTAGGAGGATTGTTGATAAGAGAGAGAACGGACTCTCAACCTCAGAGCTTTGGAATAATCCAATTAATAATGAAATATTACTAGAGCTGTTGAAAATGTTTCCTCACTCATTGTCACTGGATAATGTCCTGGTCTACTGTGCAATTCATTCAGCCAGTCAATGGAATAAGGTAAATATTTAGATTATAGATTTTATTTTGGCGATTGGCGGTTTGCAGGCGGAATTGCCAATATTAAAACCACCAATCATTAATGTGCATGCTCAGTAATGCACATGTACACAAAAACTGCCAATTGCAATTTTAAAGCAAAAATTTCCAAAGTAAAGCACTATACTGGAAGAGAGAGGGAGTGGTTTATATGCATGTACATGTACATGTAAGTACTGTCTGAGATTCTCCACTCTCTTGTTGATTCTTTTAATTTAATTATTTATTTATGTACATGTATATTATAATAGGAATCATCTGACATGATATCACTATCCTTGAATTATATTGAGTACATCCAATCACCAATAGTCACTAGAGGTACCATACAACACAGAATTATAAAATATTATTTATTTCTTTACATGTACTCATTTGTTAAGGTGTATGCAGTTTCCTATGGCATGTGTATCTAGAGAAGAACTTCTTCCAGTTATTAGAGGACTCAAAAAAGGTAGAGGATAATCACAAAGTGTTTTATATGATACTTATTATTAATTATTGTTATTATTTTAATTCCAGACTGTTGTGTGTAGAAATAGCTACAATGCGAGTCTTTTGTGGGCTGGGAGAAGCTTGTTACATTGTCTAGAACAGCTAGCATTCTGTAGAGAGGACCTGACTGATACTCCGACTGAAAGTACATTGATTCACAGGTTAGTGTGGAGGGGAGAGATGAGAGAGAGGGAGAGAGGGAGGAAGGGAGGGAGGAGGGAGGGAGGGAGAGAGAGAGGGAGAGGAAGGGAGGGAGGGAGAGAGAGAGGAAGAGGGAGGGAGGGAGGAAGAGGGAGGGAGGGAGAGAGGGGGGGCAAACAGCACAAATTAAACAATTACATGTATTTTGTATCCCTTTCCCTGTAGTCCTTCAGGTATATTATTCCTTCATTCACTCATAAAGCTGTTCCCATCCCTGGACTCCACTCTACTCTCAACTGGTATTCAGCTATTGCTACAAGGAGAGATTCTCTTGGATGCTGGCTCCACTCTCAGTGTCTTTACTTACTATGCTCCTGTGGTGCGGTCTTGGTTCAAGAAAGGATTGTTCCTCTCAAGTTATAAAAGTGGAGACAATGTTGGTAAAGCTGTCATACAAAAGAGGACTAAGGTGCTTGTATATACAATGTACTGTACATGTGTTCATGCGAATGTAATAGGGAAGCTCACTCTATTATAATAGCTATGTGGAAACTCTGCTATATAGCATGTACTAAAAATGGATTTGAAGAGAAATTTATTAGATCTTTTGATTGATATTATAATATGTTCTTATGACCCAGCTGATTTCAATCAAAATTGATTTTAAAATTTGCTCAAAAGTTGACCCAAGACACTGTATTATAGTACAAATGTAAAAGGACTTTGGCCAGATTTTGCTAAAAATTAATATGAGAAAATTCTCCATTTTAATAATTTTTTCTAATCTATATACACATGTACATGTACTGATCTTGTGTAGAAAGTTTGAGCTTATTCTAATCAAATTAGATTTTTTATGATTTTGTCAAGTTGAATTCTAAAGTACAAGTAAAGTGGACATAAGTCATAAGGCACAAATATCATGTCAAAGTACATGTAGATAAAGTGGTAGATATAGTTTCTCGCTCTCTCATTTCTATTATTTAGTTTCTTAATGATGCTGTTATAAATATCATAAAAGACAGGGAGCCATCAATTGCTTCACTGGTTTCATTCTCTTCATTAAGAAGTCAACCAGTAACACAATGCTCTTGCTCTGCTAAAGGCTACACCGAGATCTCTCTCTCATTGTCATCACTCTGGGGAGTGAGTGGTGTCCAGTATCACTGGATAGCTAATCTATTGTGTGCTGGATTCACTGACAAAGGATTAAATGTAAGATATACCATTGAATGTTGTATTATGCATGCTGGAATTGATATTACAATTACAGGCATGTACATTAGTAACATTACACTTATCAGTGCATAGCTTCCTAATTTGCACTTCTATATAGCGGGAAATTTTTGAGGGTGATTGACAAATTTTAATTCGGCTAATTTATGGCCTCATGCCATTGAGCATGCCTATAATGGCTAAAAATGGTGGATTTTTATTTTGGCAAATGGCTATCAAAATACCAAATTTAATTTCCTTCAAAATTTTGATATTTTCATTTTTTTCTTTTTTAATTACTTTTAAAGATATTCCATTCCTTGAGTTCAGAGAAAGAGTCAGTTGCTAATCAGCTACTACATGTAACGGGTCAACTGTGTGGCTATTTAATGAATAATATTGAGGTATCAAGACAGTCGAGTGTATTAGCACAATCACCTCCTAGTCTACTGGAATGGATTAGGAAACAGGTCAGTGGAGAATAATAAGTGATGAGAATTAATGAGTGTGTAAGAAAAGCTGTAGTAAGGATTCTTTTTACTCTTTACTTTAGAAAAATTACTTTTCATTTATTGAGTCTAAGCCGAAATGTACTGGTAACGATCTTTTGTTTGTTATGGATAGTCTAAGGCCGCATATTGACCGGAAGAATGAAAATATAATAAATGAACTCATTGTTTTTATTAAATTAATTAACTAAGATATTATACAGCAACGTGACTGTACAGTACCTGATTGAACAGTTGATGCTCTAAAATAAAAATAATAAAAATAAATAATTTATTATGTTGATATGCCACAGTTTATGTGCAAAATGGATTTATATACATGTATATATTTTTTCTTATAGTAGAACTTACATTAGTGAGTCTAGTTCATGTGTTTTCTCCTGTTAATATGGCAGTATATTAAGGATAAGATTATTGCTATAGCTTACTACTTCATCTTCATTTTTTTCCTCGTTGATTTCAACATTCATTTCATTTGGTGGATCTAGCTGCGGTGGATCAAGTTGTGGTGGAAAAGCCAGCTCTTCTAATTGCATTCGTTCACCTCCAGGCTCCACACTACTGTTCAACTGTTGCTCAGTATCTTGTAATTCAGGTGGGACTGCTAATTCTTCCATTTGTTGTACAACTGGAGTTCTGTTTTGATCAGGAGGTGGGAATGCTGCTATATCTTTTGATGTTGTTTTTGGTGGTGGTGCTGGTGCTAGATGTATAGGCTCTTTTAAAGTTCCATTGTTGAGCTCTCTATTAACAATAAAAGCAGTATCACCACAACCCCAGGAAGTACAAGTTTTCATGCTATTTTTGCCTTGATCTCTCTGCTTTTTAGTTTTTACCCTCCTCCCTTCCCTTTCTCTATACTTACAATATAGTTGATTGTATTGCTTCTGCCCATTCGAATGTAGTTTGTTCATCTTCAGAGTATAATAGTAAAGTGTTATTGTCCTCAGTTGTCAGCTATAATATTTGTCTGTATATTACTATTATACCATTATACTTTACATACTTTTAATACTGGTGTATTCCTAGTGGGTACCCTTGTATCATTGAGTTCAACTTTAATATGTGCATTAAGTAGAGGTAATATCCCACGGCATACAAAGCTATTAATCATAATGCCATTACATACAGTATCTGTAACATTATACTGTATACCTTTCCAGTTTCACATCAAATATGTTTGTTCTGGCATATAAGAGTATATCTGTGAATAGGTATATCATTCTTTCCTTAGGCTTCTTTCTGCATATCTGTGAAATACATAAAGATATATACTGTGCTAACTGTAAATTACCCAAACTTTCCTATTTCTTTTTAATCCTCTCTCTCACTTCCTCCCCTCCTCTTTCCTTTCACATTTACTTTTCTTTCCCTTTTTTCCTCCCTCTCTCTTACTTTCATCATTTTTCCTTCTTTAATAAATTGCCTGCCAGGCATGACAATCACTGGTACATATCCTCCAGTCAATGATGATTGGACTTGAATCATTTTCTGTTGATTTTGATGAAATCTGATATATTCATTAATATAAGATGCAACTGCACTTATCTGCTGAACAGCACCTTTTAATATAAAAAAATCAAAACTATCACCCATGCACAATAAGTCATGACCCATAAGTATGCTATAATGGTGGATTAAAACTTACTGTTAATTTTTGTGTACTCAATATGAGTTTGTTTGGTGTGTTTAAGCAGGTCATCCAGCAATAGCTTGTATCTATTATTACATATATATATAAGTAACTATTGGTATTGTGTTGTGTTGTTGTTTTACCTTGGTATTCTTTGAACTGGCACGATTAGCAAAGCTGATAAATTGAGATAATTGCACTCTGGTCTCGATTCTTGTGTTAGTATGAAGTCGTTGAATCTTTGATCTGATTTCAAACATTTCTAAAAAGGAAATCAAGCAAAAAATGTGTTCATGTCATACGGAAGTTAATGCATGCATCAAATATTGGTTGAATAAATATTGATATCAGTTACTGACAGTATATATTTTGTAGCTAATCACTCACATACAGTTGCATTAGCACATTAGCAAAGCAAGTACAACATGTACAATGTATACATCACATACCTCTAATGTAGCTGTTGCTGTTTGGAAGTTGCCAGAATACGATCCATACAGTTTTAGAAATGGACCCAAATACAGGAATGCATCGCCAAGACTCGATTGCCTCATGAAGTTGAGTAATTCTGAGTTTACAGCAAGGAGACCTTCGATGTTGCTGAATATTGTTAATATGTTGCTCTGTGATAGATACCCACCAACCCGTATTGGCTTGAGAAACAACTAGAAGTATATATATTTGCATACAGTGCGATGGCTATTTTGCTTACTTCCACTATTGTGTTTAACTGCGATATGTATGTTTGCTCCGAGTCGTAAATTTCTCTTACAATTTTTTGTCTCTTGCTCGTCAAAGACATTATACCTGCAAATAAAGAGAACAGATAATAGCTAGTCAAATTCATCGTCTTGTCCTTTTACCTTGATCTGGAAAGGGAGAGAGAGGAGCAGTAGAGAGAGAAATTGGTCGCTCCATTCCTTCAGGTGTGATGTGAGAAAAAGCTAAAGGTTCAAACGAGCCACGCCTGGCTCAGGGCGTGGCTCATAAAATTTGTCAACAAAAATCAATTAATCACAATAACCAAATCAATGAATAAAACTAGAAAGAGCACAACTAATTAAGTTCCTAAAATTCAGCAGTTTAAGTATATTTCTTATTCCTAATCTGTAGTCTCATACACAATGTCTGGCTTAAAGTCAGGCTTTACTGCATCAGCCAATAACTTTGCATATATTTCAGTACGCTGTGTCATCTGGAGAGAGAAGACATGAGAAAATATAAATAATAGTAAATGCAAGGTTGCCACATATCATAAGGTTGATATCAATATATGAAATGGACTGGCTATTTAAGATGTGTGGTTATGGATGCATTTTTATTGCTCATAACGCAAAAAAATTAAGTTGGAATCAGCTCAAACTTTCTACATAGCATAAAGACATCAATGTGTATAAAAAAATTGGGGGGTAATTTTGAAGCCAACTTTTGGAGAAAAGCATGGGCTATAGTATAGTTTATTGTACTTTTCAAAAATTGGTATGTCTTTTTAAATAGCCATAGCACAAATATTTTAGCCGGAAATTCAGAATCAGCTCAAACTTTCTACATAGCATTAGACAAGACACTGAAAACTTGGCTGTTACCTGAAAGCACCATTTATCTCTTATTTGCTGTATAAGATTTAAGTCAATCTCACAAATGAGGATACCATCACGGACCCTATTCAAACCCTACAAACAAACATTAATTAATAATAATGAATGAATGCATTTATAACACGATGCTTACTGGTGTCCTGCCACCATTGGGGCCTGCCACATAACTTGATCCATAGAAATGACCAAAATCTTTGTGAGCTAAAAGTAATGAAAGAATTTTATATTCATACAAAAATTAGACATTATGTCTGACCTGGTTTACCATCAGCTGAGGTAAATTCGTTGGGAAAAGTCTCCTATAAAAAATAATAAAATAAACTATTATTAATAATCTTGAATTCTTTTACCGTTCCAACCCTGTTATTACAAGCAACAAAATAAGAGTTAGCAATAGCTGCATTCCGTGCTTCAATAGGCCACATTGGCTCACTAGTACAATTAAAAAAAACAAAAAAATATTATCATTCTCTTCTTTTTATCAACAATTACCTGAGGGCTCCAACAGTAGCTGATGGATTGAACACAATCTCTGCTCCATTAATGCCATAGCCTAGCCAATTTAATGGATGATGACGTCCATAGCAAATGTTGACAGCAATCCTTCCATACGCAGTCTGGAACACTTTATGTCCAGTATTACCTTCCATATAATATGTGGACTAAAGTAACAACAACAACAAGAACATAACAACTATTATCTATAACAAGTAATAATGATGATAATGAATGATAGTTAGTACAGGGTTTCCCACAGGATTTTCATGCAGTTTCTTGTCAGTAGTTTATAACATTATGTACTATTATATAGTACAGGGTACAAAAATACAGGGTGTTTGGCCAATTTTGAGGCCAAACATAGTACAGGTACTACAGTACAGGGTGTTTGGCCAAATTTTACCAAAAATGACTAGAAGAAAATTCTTAATTTTTGCTAATACATATACATGTGTAGCAGGTTTGAGATGATTTTAATCAAAATTAGATTTTTTTATGAATATTTTTAAAGCTACTCAAAAATTGGGCCTAAGTCCTTGTACTATTTTTATTTATTTTTCATTTCTTTTCATTGTTACTCTATTTTCTCATTTCTTAACCTACTATTTATCCTTGTCATGTGTTTATTTTTTTAATAATGTTTATTTAAGGGCTCAGTTCCCTTCTACACTGTACCCTGTACTATAGTACAGGTACTACAGTACAGGGTGTTTGGCCAAATTTTGCCAAAAATGACAAGGAAAGAATTCTTCATTTTTACAATTTTTTCTAATACATATACCTGTATGTATGTTGTATAGCAAGTTTGAGATGATTCCGATCAAAATTGGATTTTTAATGATTTTTTTAAAGTTACTCAAAAATTGGGCCAAAGTCCCTGTACTATAGTACAGGGGTGTTGGCTAAATTTCGCCAAAAATGACCAGGAGAGAATTCTTCATTTTTATAATTTTTTCTGATACATATACCTGTACGTATGTTATAATTATAGCAAGTTTGAGATGATTTGGATCAAAATTAGATTTTTTAATGAATTTTTCAAGTTACTTGAAAATTGGCCAAAGCCTCTGTACTCCAGTACAGTGACGTTGGTCAAATTTTGCCAATAATGATTAGGACAAAATTCTCAATTTTAATAATGTTTTGATACACATACATGTACTTATGTTGCATATAAACTTTGAGGTGATCAAATTTAGATTCTTTACGAATTTTAAAGTTACTCCTGCTGTACCTGCTTGTGCTTGTTGGCTCATAAAGCATAATGCTCAGCTCACTCAGCACAGACCTTGTGTGAGCACCTACAGTGTACTTACACTTTGAGGCTGGACCCATTTTAAACATAGATATAATATGTTTAAAATATCTATGTTTAATATCTGTTTTAAAGCTTTTTTAATCAACCACGTCCAGTTTATTATCAAAGAAATTAACATTCATTATACTTGCATTATTAAATATTGCAGTCTAAATTTGACATACTTCATTAAAGTCTCCAACTCTTGGTATGTGATTCTTGTGTGTTTTTCCCAGTACTTTACCACTGTTTGATATGATGACGGCAGTATTGAAAAGGACTCCACCATGATTGGCATCTCTTTCAAGTATCGAAGACACAATTACCATATTGTAACGGGCAGCCATCTTTGAAAAATAATAATTATAAAAATATTTATTTTAAGACTCACCTCTTGGCATAGCTTTATCGTGGGGCCATCTTCTGCTGATTCTGCAAATTCAGTCCATGGATATTTCTCACGCGTGCAAAAGAAAAAAGGTTGAGCTGTTGAGGCAAGTAAAAAAGAAATGGGAGAAAGAGAAGACAAAAACAGCGACAATAAAGCCAACATTATTTTCTCTTACGCCATGCTTCTTGATAGCAAATGATGTTCACACCACACAGCGAAGCTGTATGCGTTATTTCTTTAATGCGGTCCCAAAGTGCAGTTTTCTAAAATAACAAAGACATTATAGCAATGACAGGGTTTCTCATCCTGTTTGCTGTTCACGCCCTTTTCTCACACCTATTATACCTGCTCTGAGATTGGAGCTGTTGTTGGCTTCACTATTTCGTTTTGGACCACAGCTATACGGACAATACGACGAGGGCGGCTCTCCTCTTCTCCTGACACAGGGAATTTGTATGCAGCCAGCTCAAAATTTCCAGCTCCAGCTTTCTCTACTGCTTCACGTGGGAGCTCTATCTTACTAAAAAATGTTGATGTGATTAAACTATATCATACGGTAGGGTCTCACGGTGTAGGAGCTCCATACAATATCCTTTTCATTTCAGACGCTTCTCTCTCGTCTAAAGCACTGGCTGATTTCTCCAGGAGAGTCTCTAAGCTTTCAACTTCAGCCATGTTTCCCTGAGCTATTAGATCTAATTGTAATGAGCCACACCCTCTTCCAAGTATCTAGTGACTGGAACCATGCTGGAACCAGTTCTGGTATTGGAGCAGGGATTGCTGCATCACTGCTAAAGAATGGTATAATAATATTAGGAGTACCAAGAGACGTGGAGAGAATAAAGGTTAGCTGATACCTAATATCCTTAAAATATTAAAATGTCTACGTTTATCATAAATCCCAGGAAGCGAAGGGCCTGAGACTAGGAGGGGCTATGATTAGTTTTAATTAATAGTTTTGCTAGCCAGATTAGACTTAAGTAGAGAATCTCTCCTTGTCATTTTTGACGAAGTTTTGCCAAAGTCCCTGTACAAGGACTTTTACCAAATTTTTGGGTACCTTTAAAAAATCCATAAAAAATTCAATTTTGATTGGAATGGGCTTAAATATTTTACACAACCTAAGTACATGTATATGCATCAGAAAAAAATAAATAAATTGAGGATTCTGTCTTTTTTAATTTTGGCAAAACTTGCCCCACAACCATGTACTAGAGTACACACCATTAGGAGGATCGTGAGACTAGGTTTTAATATTCATGCCTTATCTTTTGTCAGATAGTCTAGGTACAACTGCTAGTGGTGGCAAACTGGACATCTATACTATTGTGGTGTTTGACAATGTCAGCTCATGAAGCATGTATGTTAAGCTCACTTAATTAGCATGCTTTGTGGGAAACCCTGACTTCAAGAGGGCTGGACTTGACCATTAGTTTGGGTTCACAATTACAAACCACTGGACAAGATGGACCGTTGGTGTGGCAGAGTAGCATTAGTGACAGGAGCCAGTTCTGGTATTGGAGCAGGGATTGCTTCATCACTGGTAAAGAATGGTATGATAGTATTAGGAGTAGCAAGAGATGTGGAGAGGATAAAGGTTAGCTATGATAGTATGATCACTCAACAGGGCCCATGATTGAATATTTTTATAGAAATTATCAGATAGTCTAGGTACAACTGCTAGTGGTGGTAAACTGGTTGGTATGAAATGTGATGTTACTAATGAAGATGATATCAAGAGTGTATTTAGTTATGCTAAAGATCAGTTTGGTGGTATTGATGTGTGTGTCAACAATGCTGGATTATCTCATTCCTCTTCTTTATTAACTGGTGATACTAAAGAATGGAGGAACATGCTTGATGTAAATGATCCAAAACTTTATTTTTGTATTAATTTCTTATGGCAGGTCATGATTTTGGCTCCTTGTATCATAACAAGAGAATTCATGAATCAAGTGAAGGAGAGAGGAGTAGATGATGCTCATATCATATTCATTAACAGGTTTGGCACTTGACTTTATGAAGTTTATTTATTAGATTGATATGATGCAGTATTTTGGGTCATGTTGTTCCACCACAATCTCCTCACTTTTATTGTGCCACCAAATTCGCTATTACTGCTATTGCTGAAGGTGTTAGACAAGAACTGAGAGAAATGAAGTCAAACTGTCGCTGCACAGTAAGTACATGTATATTGCATGAATAAAGCTAATAAAAATCCTCTGTAGTCAATCTCTCCTGGTGTAGTAAAAACAGAGATATTTGGTAGAGCATTCAAAGCTGAAGACATACAGAAAGCTGTTGAAGATGTTGATAAACTTATATCAAATGTAAGCCAGTACTGCTGTTTTGTAATAATAAATTGAGTCTGCCAATAGGGTATGCCACTTTTACCTGATGATATTGGTAATACAGTTCTATTTGTGCTCAGTGCTCCACCAAGAATGGAGGTAGTTCAATGAATAACTGCAGTGTCCTGCCTTCATCCCACATTGCTCTGTAGGTTAATGAGATTATTGTGACAACAACTGGCAAGCCGTTAGTCTCAGATTAGTCTTGCCAAAAGTCAAAAAGGGGTAGAGAGTTTGGCTACACAAGATTACTCCCAAACTAATGAAAATAAAATTATGCATAATTACTTAGTACAACAGTTTTTGACAATGATGTTATTTTTTATAGCCTGGAAATTATTAGTGGGAAAATTTCTTATATGAGGCAATCCAAAGTAAACCATTTTTTGCCATTAAATAAACTAATGGGCTGGACTCCTTGAAGGTCAGCTGGCCATAGATTTCTATAGATCTACTAGGTAGATTATAGATTTTCACCTATTTAAAATCTGGAATCACAGTAATTATGTGGTAGAGTAGCATTAGTAAGTATACTATATTGAATAAAACGAAGTCAAACAGTCACTGCATAGTAAGTAGATCTATAATTATTGCCAAAGAACAGATGTAAACTAGTAATTTGTCAGTCGCCTGGGTGTAACAAAAACAGAGGTATTTGGTAGAGTCTTCAAAATTGAAGACATGCAGAAAGCTTTAGAAAGTAATAATTTGATAAACATAATCAAATTTAAGCAGCAACTGTATTATTACTTATGAAGAAATTAATCTGCCAATATGGTATGCCACTTTATTAATTAGTAATACAGTTTCATTTATGCTCAGTGCTCCATCAAGAATTGAGGTGATTTAATGAATGATGTTTCAGTTCCCACTTTTCATGTGCATAGATAGATCTAGGCAATTACAAAGTTATTGCAGGACAACTTCATGCAAAGAAATAGCTTATGTAACACTTATGATTTCAGAATCTTAACTATAGATCTAGTAATTAATGTAATCATAAAGCAAAACTGGTGAAGGGCTTTAGATGAATTAGGCTATTATAAGCTAGATCTAATAGCCTAATTAATAGCTATTTCATAGTTAAAGTCTGAGCTGAAGTCACTGGAAATATCAAGAGAAATATGGACCGTTGGTGTGCCAGTAGCATTAGTGCATCAATGGTAAAGAATGGTATGATAGTATTAGGAGTAGCAAGAAATGAGGAGAGAATAAAGGTTAGATTTATATCGTCAATAGACTAGAACGAGGCATATTAGTTTTATGGTTTACGTCATCCATGCCTTATCTTTTGTGGAAATTGTCAGATAGTCTAGGTACAACTGCTAGTGGTTGTAAACTGGTTGGTATGAAATGTGATGTTACTAATGAAGATGATATTAAGAGTGTATTTAGTTATGCTAAAGATCAGTTTGGTGGCATTGATGTGTGTGTTAATAATGCCGGACTAGCTCATAATGGTCCTTTATTAACTGGTGATACTAAAAACTGGAGGAACATGCTTGATGTAAGTAACACCAATGACTCTTGCTCTCACTGTATATACTG